TCTTAAGGTTTGATATTGCCTAACGGAGATATCAACTGGAATTGTCCATGCCTTGGTGGAATGGCTAGTGGTCCTTGTGGGGAACAATTCAAGTCAGCATTTTCCTGTTTTCATTAAATCAAGGCAGTAATTAAGGGATCAGATTGTGTGGACCAGTTTCGTGCAATGCAAGAATGTATGCAGAAATACCCGGATCTTTATCCTCAAGAAAATGATGATGATGATGAAGATGAAGAAGATAATCAAAGCAAAGATTTAGAAACTACTCCTTCAGCGGGCAAAGAAAAAGATGGGTCTAGCTAATGAATGAGCATGGAGGCTGTAGTCTCCTTTCCATATTCAGAGACATTTAGATAGGGCAGAGTATCTTCTCTCCTTTCTTTCTTTCCACCCCATTGATCCCACAAGGAATGCACTTCTGGACACTGTATCATGTGAACTCACTCACTGAAGAAGCAGCTTCAGCTCTATGGCTTTAACAAAAAAATGTTGCAGTAGAGTCAGTATAGAAGAAATGTAGACACCACCAGTGCTTTATCACTTTACTTCTCCGGTTATGTTCCGTTTATAGGTTGATTTGAAGAACAGCAATGGTTAAAGCTCTTTTAGGAAAGCAAGAATACCGGATCAGCAAAATGTCAGTAGGTAGCTCTCTTCAAGATTTTATATGATGAAAATTAATACAGATTTCTCAGAACAAACATATTGATTCAGAAATCTGGGTAAAATTTTCAGTTAGTCAGCCTTATGTGCTTAATAGCACAGAAAGTTTGCATGTATAATTAATTTCTAATAATAGAAAATTAATGTTAGTATATTGATTTTCCATTTTAAAATAAATGTTGATCAGGCCTAGCCATAACTGAGCAGTCTAGAGAAAAACATTGGTCACTGGGTTCCTTAATGTTCCTAATAATCCCTGTTTTGAGGGGTTTCCTTTGTTCCCTCTCCCAGCAGGTTGCTGACCCTAATAGGACAATTGCAATGTTACCAGGGGTAATAAACCTCTCCATAGGTATTGTGATTTGACTGTATATTAAAAGTGAATTCCTTTTACCTTATACAAGTCCCTGGGTCTTTTGTTAATGCTAATGACTGGTCTGTGTGACAAGCTACATTGATTTGTTCAAATGGGCAAACAGGCAATCATCACTTAATGACCATTCAGTGACCATTTATAGTTATGACCAGTCTTTAAAATTGAGGCCAAAGCACTATGGTCCCATGATCAAAATGGGCATTTGGCAACTGGCCCACATTTATGACCAGACTATGCACTTCAACTCTCCCCCCCCCCCACTTATCTCTACTCCGCCCTTTCAGCCACCCTGTACTTTGCTGTCTGCTCCTACATACACACCCCAAATGATATTTGCTGTCACGTTTAAAGTAGATTTTCTGCTACAAAATATTGCAGGAGTGTAATAAACAGGTTCCTGAGGAATTGGATGGGAGTGCATTTGTGAATAGGACTTAACCATGCCAGATCAAAAGGAAAATCAGTGGTTGACTATCAAGCTGGTGCCGCCCCCTTTGTTTAAAGATATGTTATATAACCAATTTTGTAGCATCTGGTTAATAAGACATCTCTGACAAGAATGCTATTGGAAACTGCTTTGGGGTAATGCTGTCAGCCATTAAACAGATACGTCTGTTCACAATAGGATTCTCACAGGGCCACCTTAGTGTCCAAAAGGCATCACTACTAGGTCTGCATTTGAATATTGTAGCGGACTAAATTTCCTTAAGATGAGTTCATTTGAAATCACTGCAGAAAATAAGCCATACATTCCTATTGCAAGCAATAGGACTAAAATGCCATCATTTTTAACTTGCCTTTGTAGAAAGTCGTTTTCACCACGTTAACATCAGTACTACTTATCTGAATGAGAGATACCTCAACTATATCTCAAGATAATATGCTTAGTCTTGTCATGTTTTTGTTTCCATTTCTTGTGCCTAATTGCATATTCTGTTTTTCTTTGGCATTCAAATTAGCGTGCATGAGAGTCTCCCCCCAGTTTTATCCTTGGAACAGTTCTGTGAAATAGGTTGTACTCATTCAGGGAGTTCTCTGGGTAGGTGGGAATTTGAACCCGGGATTCCCTAGTTCCAATCCACACTCATGACCAAACACAATTATTTGAAAATGCTGGTGAAAATGGCACAAACATCATTCCCTGGTTCCCGTTTCTGTTACTTTTCTTCATATCCTATTTTACTATTTTTCCTTTTTAGTCACTTCATTTAAATTTTGGGTATTTGGCTTAACTTTTCACTTACAAGCAGATATAAACGTAGAGCTTCTAACAATATGTTTTATACAAATGAAATCCCTTAGGTTTAGCAATAAACCATCTAGCTCTATCTGACAGAACACTCATCAGACAAAATATGGAAAAATGCAGGCGGTATAATATAAACATAGTTTATATAGTGTGTCCAAAATGATTTTAGCATTTTAATAGAAACTGTGATGAACTAAATAAAAGTCCTGTGTCCATAAATAACTGACATGCATAACAGATTCTACATTAAAAAGGCAGTAAGATTTATAATGCCTTGGCCAAAGCTTAAGTAAAAGACAGTTAACTATATATTCAAACTTAAACTTCTTCCCTTAACCTATTGCCCATATTTTAGGAGAGATTTTTTTTTTTAGTGCAAACACTTTAGTGCCTTTCAAGAGAAATTCCATAGTCTAGACTCTAGAACAAGAAGTGATATAAACAATTACATCAGTCATATTCCAGCACAAGGTATATGGAAATGCCTGGGTTTTAATGGCTGTCTTAGAATAGAAGACTTCTTTACTCTGCATTGGTATCTAATGTCTCAAACCACAGCTATGTTTTGCTTAGAATATAGCATTAATGAAATACAAATTAATGCTAGGGAGCTGGGGAATCACTCATTCTGCAGCACAGATCGTGTACTTTTCTGACTAGTCTCTGCTTGAGCAAAGGACAGCAATGTTAGTGGTGTTCATTTGTATCTGCCTTGGAGCACTGCTTGCTAGAAAATCTTGGCTGGTAGTAAAAAATATGAATAGAAGCATCTGTTCTTTGAGATGTCTTGAACACGCATAGAGTATAAAAAAGGCAAGTGACTGAAGCTACAACGTGGTAATATGAAGCATTTCAGGTGAAATGAGCACAACAGAAATCGAAAATCAAATATTAACTTAGAAAACAAAAAAGGACCGTGTGAGGGTTTGAAGAGGAATCAGTCTTTAAATCACCAGTTTGGCATGTCTTCTATGCAATCCAGGAGCAAGACTGATAACCCAAAAGCAAATTCCAATACTTCTGGTGCTGTGCGAAACTCTTGAGTTCTTGCCTCATTCGTTCTCCTAAGAGAACTTGCTAGTCCTCCATAGCAGTGGTCTTTTTGCATTTGTTTTGATGCTAAATGCAGGATAAAACAGGAGAAGGCTGTTGGTGAGAGCAGGTGGGACCAACTTGAAAATCACAACTTTCCCGACTCTTGCATTGGGGGAACAACACTATAGAAAACAGATCTTTGGAATCTGGTGGTAATAAAGATTTGGATAGCCAGCTTGTTTTATTCTAATGTGTAGATTACCAATCATCCTCTTTCCCCATGAATTTTGTCAGGAAGTTTAGGGGACACCTACAGCAGGAACAGGGACCTCCACTTCCCAGTATCCCTGCAGCTCCAAGTCCTTTCAGGCTGCCTTCCAGATTTCCAATAACTGTTGTTTTCTTCTCTAATGAAGTAGACACAAAGACACTTACATCTACAATATCTTCTCAATTCCAGTGCAAATTCCAATAGAACACAAAGACGTCGTAGAATCCAAAAGCTATGAAGAGTATCTTAAAATAACAGCTTTTTAAACAGGCCACTCAAATATAAGCAAGACTCATATGACAGGCCAACGAATGACATTTTGTAGCCCTTTAACTTAGCGAAATTTTGTTCTTCCTTCATAGTAACTGTAAAACAAAATCCAGCTCCAGAAAAATAAATAGTGCAGGAATTCTAGTTTTCTGTTAGTAACGACTGTTCATCCATAACATAATATAATCTTGGCTTCAGTTACAAATACGTGTATTGGTGGAATTTGAAAGCTCTAGATACTGTAATCCTAAAACAAGCTATATGCCAGGCTGTGAGCCTAGGTACATAAGGTTAATTCAGCAGTCTTTACATTTATTTATTTTTTACAAACATGTGAAAGAGAGAGAAAAAATTGTTGTGTTGGAAAAAAGAAATCCTGGAACAAGATTCCTGCCTAAAGCACTTAATGGAATGGAGAAAAGAGAGTTTGCTTTTAAATTCTCCTTAATTATAAAAGTTATGATTAACCATTAGAGAACTAACTAGACTTTTCACTGCCATATTATTAATGTGTACACATTTGTGACTTGACTTGGGAAAATAAATACATTATTTGCATCCGGTTCGTAGTATATCTGCAACAAATTTCCCCCAGTGAGCTTTCCAGGGCTTCACCAGACTGTTCATGTTCACAAGAAGTCTGTTCGTCCGTGCGTCTTCTTGTCCTGCTATTAAGTAGTCTATACCTGGTTTAAAAAAGGATTACATATTGTAAGAATCAATTCTCAATATTAATTAAGTTACAGAATCAAAGATTGCCCAGAAGACTTTACAGCAGAGCAGTGGTGGGTCCGGATCCCATTGCAGCCAGTACGGTTGAATATGTGCAGTGCGCGCACATGTGCACAGTGTGCGCATGCATCCTTACCTCTTGTGACATCTCCGCGACACTCCAACTGCTTGGCGGAGCATCGGCAAGCACCATGTGCTCCCTGTGCGTGTGCGGAAGCGCTGAAGAGCTCAAATATAGGTAAGGAGCTCAGGTGGGCGGGTGGGCCCTCTGGAGCACCATACTGGAACGGTACTGGCTCCTCCAGCCAGGCACCGGTACGCCTGTACCGGGGCATACTGCCTGCAACCCA